CTAAGAACCTTGGATCTAGAAGATAGGGGCTTAATCTATTAACATGGCCAAGCGGCCAGAGGAACTCGTCGAGTCGATAAGGGAACTTGACGAGTCGAGTCGTGTTGTCCCGATTTTAGTTTATAGTAGAACTTAATGAGTCTCTAGAGAGACTCGACGAGTTGATTTGCAAAGTCACGACTGAGCAGCTCGATAAAACTCGATGAGTCGGGGAAATGACTCGGCGGGTTGAGTTGCGATTCCAAGATTTATAAGTTATAGAACTCGGCGGGTTGGAGGGTATAATTGGCGAGTTGGCCAACCCAGAAGATTGACTTTGACCAGACCGTTGAATTTGACTAGGGGTAAAATGGTCATTTTATCCTTAGATGGATTTCAGTTTTCTAACTAAGTATTACTGTATAGAATTAGTCGGGGAGTTGTGGGAGCGGGCAACAGAGATTCCTCACGCACAAGATCAACATCCAGTTTGACTGGTGAGTCTTCCTTCAGTAGGAATGGGTTGAAGGCACCAATGTCGGCACGTTTATGTATGTTAGGATGTGCCGGACTTAGGTCCGATGCCGGGGCTAGCCGGTTGTAGAGTATGTGCTCCGGACTTCGGTCTGATGCCGGGGCAGTCCCGAGAAGTAGTTATGTATGCTTGATGTCTTTGTGATTCATGCATGATATGTGTTATGTGTTCCGAGTCTAGGTGTGATGCCGGGGTAATCCCGATGTATGCTAGTTTATATGTTATGTGTAGTCATATATGTTATGCAATGTGTATGCCTGGGTAAACCCGATGTCGGGCGGGGCCCGATGCTAGACGTGGTCTGATGCATGGGTGAGCCCGATGCCAGATTGGAGTCCGATGCCGGCTAAGCCGATACTGGGTTTGTCCCGATGCAGCTGGGCGTAGTCCTAAAGTTATGTTATATGTTATTTTGTGATTATTGTATGGTATGTGGTAGTTTGGGGGAGGTCACTAAGCTTCGTGCTTACAATTTTCAGTTTGGTTTCAGGTACCTCAACTAGTAAAGAGAAAGGTCCAGGATGATCGCATGACACACACCACAACTTTATAGCCTGACATATTTTACTCTGATATTTGAGATGCTATTTTGATATTTTGACATTTGATGTGATGTTTTGAAGATTATGTTTTATGATGATTACATGATAATGTTTTTCATTTAATAAACTAAAAACGAAAATTTTGAATCGTACTTTTAAGATGTTTAATATATATATATATATATATATATATATATATATATATATATATATATATATATATATATATATATATATATATATATATATATATATATATCAAAATGATTGTAACAAATATTCGTTTATAGTGGTAAGATATACCAAATTGCACATGACTCGACCTCAATCCCAATTATAAAATCTTGTTCACATGAGTTCATCAATCAATGTCCTTAAGTCTACTCTTTTCAATTTCATGCCAACCATCCCTAATATTAAAACGAAATAAAATAACATCAGGAAAAGTAAAATGCTTTTTAAATACTTTCAATGTACCCACCTTTGCATCAACAATTAAGCCATCGATTTATTTTACATATTTTATAGCTAAGAAATTTCTGTTAATATAACAACCCAAGTTATATTTTATATGAATTATAGTTATTTTATTAAAAAGTCATCACTTCTTAATTTCAACATTTTAAATCAAACCTATTTGTGCAGTATGACTAAAAACCATGTTTTAATATACTAATTAGATATCATGAACAACAATTATTGAACAAATAAAAGTTAAAAAAACAAAAAAAAAAAAATCTAGAGTACGCGTGGAATAGATAAACTCCAATGACATTTTTATGCTCACAACAGAAAGAAAAGTAACATGCCGAAATACATAGTCATCGAAATAATTGAAATACCACATAATAACAACCATGTGTATATAATTATATACATATTCGGTTTGACTAAATACCCCTGGATAATCAAATCAAAGCTCAATAAACTTGCACCATTATAGTTGAATAAGGTAAATAAAAAAAAAAATTTAACACACATCTATGTATGTATGTATAAGTCAATGATGATATATCATATAATACTATGTAGGTATCTATATAAACAATCTTCATCGCCCACAATCGTATAACAAAGAGAAAAGGAAAGCAAAATGAACAAGCAAACGCTATGTTTGGTGTTTCTCTCTTTCTTTGTTGCTTCATCTTATGCTCAACTTAGACAAAATTTTTATCAGAGCACTTGCCCGAACGTTGAATCCATAGTAAGATCAGCCGTCACCAAGAAATTCCAGCAGACCTTCGTCACTGTTCCCGGCACTCTCCGCCTCTTCTTTCACGACTGTTTTGTTAGGGTTCGTCTCCTTTTTCTCCATAACCACTTTTTAACTTCGAATTTCTTAATTAATCTGTATCATAACCAATTAACGTATATGTCATGCATGTATATATAGGGATGTGATGCTTCGGTTTTTCTTGCAACTCCAAACGCTGAGAAGGATCATCCCGATGATCAGTCACTCGCTGGAGATGGATTTGACACCGTCATTAAAGCCAAGGCTGCACTTGATAGCAATCCTAATTGCCGGAATAGAGTTTCATGTGCTGATATATTGGCTCTTGCAACCAGAGATGTCATAGTCTTGGTAAGAACTCCATGTTACGCTTAAATGTAGCTTTTAAGAAAATCGTATGTATCGAGTAAAAATGATATATTATAGAAAACCTCGAAAGCATAAAACCTTTTTTAATATAGTTATTCCTTCGTATAGTTCATGTAAAGTTTTTGTCTTACTGTGAAAGGATATAATATTTAAAGTGTTAATGAAAAGACTATATATCCTTATAATTTTCGGTTTGCTTAATATATATAGGCAGGTGGGCCATCATACAGTGTAGAATTGGGGAGAAGGGATGGGAGAATCTCCACCAAGGCAAGTGTTCAACACAAACTTCCACAAGCATCTTTCAAGTTGGATCAACTTAACACCATGTTCGCTTCTCATGGTCTATCTCAAACCGATATGATTGCACTTTCAGGTAAATAGTTAATACAACTTGATCTCGATAAGGTCCCATAATTTTACGTAACTCTTGTCAAAATGAGCATTCATATTGATCGGGTATTCATTAACATTGTATATAACCATTTTCTGTAGGTGCACATACACTTGGGTTCTCTCATTGTGGCAAATTCTCGGGACGTATCTATGGAAAGAGCGGAATAGACCCAACCCTAAACAGACAATACGCTCTTCAGCTAAGACAAATGTGTCCGATTAATGTGGATCCTAGGATTGCCATTAACATGGACCCAACCACTCCTCGGACTTTTGATAATGCGTATTTCCGAAACCTTCAACAAGGAAGAGGCTTGTTTACTTCCGATCAAGTCTTGTTCACTGACAGCCGGTCAAAGCCAACAGTCAACCAATTTGCCTCTAGCAACAGTGCTTTCAACCAGGCTTTTATTACCGCCATCACCAAGCTCGGACGAGTTGGGGTTTTGACTGGTAGCAAGGGGGAGATCAGACGCGATTGCAGCATGCCTAACTAGAAAGACATGATCTTATTTCCATTTATTATTATTGATTTTAAAATCCAAGTTGTAAAGTTTATTTGCCAATAAGTAGCTACAACTGTACAATGCTTGCAGCTTTTGAGGGACGATCATGTTGGTTTGGTTGTGAGTAATAAAATTAATTCTCCTGTAGTATTGTTCATGAGGATTTTTTCTGACAAAAAGAGAAAATTTTCATTTTATATTTACTGTTACGAGGAAACGTGATTGTACTAGATTTTGGAAGCAGAAAAGGAAACCCATGATGATGCGCATCTGTCTCTAACTGAATATTGATGAATGAAGCGTAGAAATTAAGAAATGGAGAAGAAAATGATTTTCTTAGAATTAACCATCTGCATTAAGTAAGTTCGACTTGTATTTCATAAACTGACCATACCTTGTTGACTCATATCACCCAACAGCCTACTTTTTAGGGAATACGTAGAACCATAAAATAAATTAGGTATTTTTAGCAAAATACAATCAAATTTCTGTACATCTTTTTAACTTTTTAATATCTTGTGTTAGACTAGATTATAGGTTTTGTACATATTTTTATGGAGTTTAAAATATTTAAGTTTACACCACAAACCATATATAAGAATACATTATTAACTACTTATAAATCTTTATATTCAAATTTAACATAAAAAACTATCATGAAATATTGAAATTGTTCATTAAAAACCCAATAAATTTCTTTTCATAAGACATCAAAAAAAGCCACGCAAGTATACATATGGTAGATGTCAAAGAAAATTATAAAGCCTAGTAGAGGTCAAATATAAACATCACATCCGAAATACATAGATGTTGGAGTAAATTATAAAATCAGAAAAAATTTGAACTCGAAAGCAATAGAAAGAAGCTAACAATAAAAAAATTGTGTTTTTTTTTTTAAATCAAAATTAAGTCAATTTTGATGGTTATATACCTAATATTACATACATGACAGCCACATATTCAGTTTTCCCAAAATATATATATAGTGATGATTGAAGTGAGTATGGAAACAAAATCAAACTAAGAACATATTTAGAACACACGATCTAAATGATATCTCGTTGGCTCATTATATTGTTTGATCAGTGAATACAAGAGGAAAGACAAAATGATTACAAATGAGATACTCAATTCTTAACTTCTAAGTGTATCCATCCCATATATATATAGGGATACTGAAAGCACAAAAATATAAGGACGTTAGACATTACAAACTTCAAAACTAAAGTGTCCTAATAATAGAAATTACAATTTGACTTCGACATTCACTACAAGAAAGGAGACCTATAGGGACGACAAATGTCGTCTCTATAGGTTATATAAAGTCGTCTCTATAGGTGGTTGTAACGACAAGTCGTACCCATAGCCTTTGTCGCTATAGCCCCGTCGCAATAGATAGCTTGGCTCGTCACTATAAATATCGTCGCCATAGATACTGTTTAGAGACGACATATCGTTTTTGTTGGTTCGTGGTTGTCATCCCCATTGTTGGACCTATAGAGACGACACGTCGCCCCCATAGCTACTTTTTTGCATTTTGCAGTTTCTCCTTCTAATGTAACACCAATTGCTTTCCCATCTTCAAACTCTACCGGTTTTTTTGAAAGTAATGGAATCTGTCAATGGAATTGGAATTTGACAAAGGGTATTTTGGTCTTTTGTAAAAAAAATGAAGAATGTAAAGGAATGAAATTGAATTCCCTTCACTCATGAAACATGGGGTTTGAAGGAATCTAACAAAATTGAATTCCATCCTTGGAATGGAATGGAATCTGGAATTCCAGTTCTGTGGATTACCTTGCTTTGTGGTTTGTTGAGGACGTAGGTGCCGCCATAGACTGCACTCAAACGAGCAAATGCTTGAAAATATTTATCAGATAAAGTTAAAATATTTTCAAATAGCAGATTAAATAATTAAATAAATGAATCTTTTGTTATTGATTATACCTGAGGTGATTCTCCTAGTCCATAGAGAGGGTAGATATATGGAGAACCTCCTGCAAACCTAGCTAATGACTCTGCATATAGCTATTCAGGAAATATAAAATACTCTCACACAATGAGAAAAAATAACATCACTGCCCTTTCGGAATATCAAAAATAGATGGATAACCATTTAGTGAACATCAAGTAAAAATGGCAATCACCTCGTTCCAGGACTACTCAGGTGGCTAGGTGGCTAAGTGACCGCAACTTCATTCGATTCTCCAATCCTATACACACCATAATTATGCAATTCAAAAGCATAATAAACAATTATGTATACAGGAATTGTATAAAAGCCAAGTACACACACAAGAATCGCATAAAAGGACACCGATAGTCAGAATTATAGGTTTTAGAAGATTAGCAAGTTGTACATACAACAAATTGACATGATTTCAGCTAACTTTGTTTAGATCACAGAGTTATCGAGATTTGTAAAAACAAATATGAGGTTCAACAATAATATAACTTACCTTGAACATACAATAACCTTGCTGCAGCCAAAGAAACCGTACAGAGCAAAATTGAAAACAAATCTCTATCGAATTTGAGTTTGTCGTCGTCATCATCTTTCACTTATATCCCAATTCCAGTTTAAATTACATAATTTCTAACATATACCTCAATTATAGGTTCAAACAGAGAATTACTAACCTGGTAGCCGGTGTAGGGCTTGTATTCAATAGTAATCGTAATTGGATGTCAAAAGGAAGCCGATAGTCCGAATCGGCAGCGTTGAAACTAATCGACGTTGTTGAGCGTAATGGTGGTGTTCGACAACTATCATGACAATCCATAGAGAGAGGAAGAAGATGCACTGGGAGTGGGAGGTGAGGAAGTCGCTGGTGGAGAAGATAATGGTCGAAATTCGGGAAAGGAGAATCTCCGATCGAGAGTGAGTGAGAGATAGAGACTAATGATTGAGTATGCGTGAACGAAACAAAAAGGTTGTTCTCCTATAGCCTTCCCCAAAACGCGCCTAATTTAGTTTCTTTCCCGCTTTAATATGGTGAGACGGCTGTAGCTGTAAAAGTAAAAAAAAAAAATTGTCAACTATATGGAGACGACATGTCATCCCTATAGGTTATCTATAGAGACGACATATGACGTCCCTGTAGACCTCGTCTCTATAAATGCTTATTCTTGTAGTGATTACAAACTAAAAAGACATATTCGACATCTCACAATAACATCCGAACCCCAACAATATATATATATATAATATATATATATATATATATATATATATATATATATATATATATATATATATATAAAATAGAGGATGATCATTTGAAAACTTATAGTTTCATGAGAACCCGAGAACTAAAGGTGGAGCATTGGATCAAAAAATTTAATGGACTAGATCAAAAATGGCATATTTGTAATTATCGAAAATTTTAATGGTACCATTGACTTTTTAGATTAAATTACGAGGGTAATTATGGTATAGAAAATTTAAATACTTATTAATTAATCAAATTTAAAAATAAAAAAACAAGTTCCCTGTTAATGTAAAATCCCTAAATTAATCTTTCACTCTCTCGTCTCTTTTGCCTTCTCACGATTTCTTCAGTTGTTCACCGAATCCCTCCCTTCTCCATCGAGCACCTCCCTATTACCTCCGAAGATCACCTCTCTCCGCCCTCTGCCCTCCAACAACAACCCTACATTTGTTAATTACCACCACCTACATAAGCCATATCCCTTGACTGTTATCAAAATAAAAGATGAAGCTAATAGTTCAATCGCTAATTGATCAGTAAGGGCTCTAAAACGCCACCAAAACAATCGTCGGTGATGAAGGACACAAAGGAGTCTCAGGCGGAGAATGCACCATGTTTCCATTGGAGCTAATGTCATTCACGATCCTATTCTCCTATTTCTAGATGAGACGATGTCGGGCCTTAATTCCACCGGTGCTTACATGGTTGTTAAGGTGTTACAATGTATTGCACAAACTGGAAGCATCATCATAATGCCCTCGATTTGATGAAATACCAGGAAGTTCTCTAGGAGGAACCAAAAGCCTCATCGATTTGATGAACAGTCACCACAGATTTCAATCGGATGCACAAAATCGAGGTTAATCTTTCCTACCGACATTATAACCCACCGTATTGAATAACAACCAATGTTGATGCTTTGGATCAGTTTAACAGGAGGAGTGTAGAGGTAGGGTATCATTTTGATCTTTGAAATGTTAATTTGACTTTACATTTCTTTCTTTCTTTCTAAATTGTAATGTTTATTTATTCCTGTGACAACTCGATATTTCGAGGCAATATGATGGAACGCAAGTCAAATTTAGGTCAAAATTTAACTTTCCAAAAATCTTATTTGGATTAAATAAAGTAGTAGGAATCGTGTCAAGGTTTTCATACATATAAAGAACCCTAAAATCCGAGTTATAACGAAGAAGTTATGACCAATCGAAGATTCTCGGCAAAACCGGCAATACTGATAAACGTAAAACGCGAAGTTTCAATACAATAGTTTTTGGCCTTAGGTATCTAAATGAAAGTTTTAGATATCATCAAACCGTAAACGTACATAAAAAGAACGTCCAAATTTGACTTCGTATGAGGAAGTTGTGATTTTTCTAAGTTACAGATATAGCAGTAGACAGCTAAAAACTCGAAATAGAGATCGAGAGACTTTTGGCCGACACAATCTAAATGAGAATCGAAGGGCTCAACAATACTAGCGCAACGGTAAAAAGTCTGACGAAAACGGACGTCGGATGAAGAAGTTATGGAACTTTAACGGACTTTTCCTGTCCCGACCTATTAAATATATAATATTAAAAATAAAGTCAAAACTAGCCGACGGAGTCTAAACGAAAGTTGTAGATCGTAGTCTCACCTTCGCGTGGATATAAAGAACTTCGAAAACGGAGTTCGTATGAGAAAGGTATGAATTTTTGAAGTTTGTTAATTAATTTAAATATAAATTAAATTAAAGCTCGGTATTATCCGAAGAAGGAGTCAGCGGTCCGATCTCTCGTACGCCCAGCGTACCGTCGTACGCCCAACGTACTCAGATGCTAGGCTCCGGTTCGTCCACGTCGCTCCAATGTTTCGACCGAGGATGCGCTCATGCATGACGCATGAGTACGCAGCGCGTACTCTAGTACGCCCCGCGTAACGCAACCTCTCAGACCCCTATAAAAATGATGCGAGGGTGCCGGCCAAAATTGCTAATTTCCTTCCTTTCTTGCGCCGAAGCTCTGCGTTTCAACCCTCTGAATCATCCCAAAGGCCCGGTTTTCATATCCAAGGTGGGAAGAAAGTTTTACACTCTCGAGATTTCCCGAGAATCTCGAGAGATCCGCTTTCTCGAGTAGAAGTTCTGCTCGGTTTTCGTCAAGCTTTCTTCAATCAATCAGGTGAGTTCATACCCCTATAAAATACACTTTTAAATATTTTACAAATACTTTTATATGCTTTTAGGGGGGGGGGGGAATACAAGTTAAATACTCGATTATTGTCGTGTGTTATATAATAAAGTTCATTATACGCTTTTTATCAACGAAATCATATATGATTTATAAACTTTATAGGAAACTTTTGTATACAAAATGTATCACGATAACATCATAGCTTTTGAAATGATAAGTGTTGTTATATATATATATATATCAAACACTCTGCTTATACTGTATGTATATGCGTCCATCTTTGGTACTACAAACATACGATTATTTTGGCACGAAAAACATCAATATTTTGGGATACTTGTTGTTAATAAATCAATCACATGGGATTAATAACTAGTATACAAATGGATTTACTACAAGTTTAACAGTTTTACTAAACATATTACTTCAAATGAATTTCTTAAACGTTTTTACATGATTAAAGCTTTATTCAAACTATCTTACATACTGTAAGCTTCCTTTCAAACTCGGTTACAAAGGTGTTTTCAAACAGTGGTTTTCCGTGTACTGAAACTGTCTTATCAAACAAAATACTTTCAATCATTTTATAAACTGACATCAAGTCACAAATTCTTTATTAGACTTTTCAACGGTTTTACAAAACTTCTTTATGCTTTTATATTATAAATTGCATGCCTCTATATGTATAGTTATATAAGAAATGTTTAAAAGACTTAGGAAGGCTATCCACCCTATTTCCTTTTCCTCGATTTGGATGTGGTCTGGTAGGATATTGGGTACTCCTCCGAAGGTCGTTTAAATATTAGTTATATATCATGTATACATATATGGTCATAAATGTTCCATCAGTAAATTTAGTTCCGATACTCTTGGGTAGCAAGGGGTATAAACCTACTTGGACACTCATCAATTACATTCTAGTAAACTATTATAGGAATAGTTTAGAGTAAACAAAACATTTTCCCTACTACAAGAAATTACACCAGAGTCAGTTCATTCATGAGTCTAGACTACATGCTATATGAAAGAATTGTCTTACATGAATACTTATACATGAATACTTTACATAGACATTATATGTAAAATTACTATTACATGTTAGATATCTAGATACTGTTATATAGTTCGCCTTTCTATCTTTACCTTGTGATACAATCACATCATCGGCGAGATAGATTGGACTTTATATCCTAGTACTAAAGGATACTTTGAGGGACTAACCATTTCGAGAACCACTGTTAGCTACAGAGGTAAATGAACAATCTACGGATGTTTTAGGTTGATACCATCGCAGGTATACATAAGGGACTAACTATTCCTAAACCCGGCTGTTAGCAACAGAGGTAAATGAACAATCTACGGATGTTTTAGGTTGATACCATTTCAGGTATACTTAAGGGACTAACTAATAATAGTTAAACAGGAAAAACCGTCACATTTTCAAGTGATGCGTACTTTCAAAACATTCGAGTCTTGGTAGAAGACTACTTTTATACTAGTAGGAAATAAGGGATTTTCTAGAGTTTTTCATACTTATACTAAATGTTTCATCAATCATTCACCAGTCTTTCATAACAACTAATCAAAGCAATGACATTAAATACTTATGAACTCACCAGCTTAAATGCTGACCTACACTTTCAAAATAACTTGTATTCTCAGGTTACAAATAGACAGGTGCCGATGCAAGGTTTAGAGAAGACGGAGCAGTCAAGACTCGTCTTTTATTTTGATTAGTTATCTTGTTGTCTTGTACTATGAAAGAAAACAATTGTAATTAAAATTATACTATTAATGCAATGGATGATGTTGTTGCTTGTTTACCACTTTGCAATTGTTATGATGCATACATGACGTCCTCCGCCCCAGAACATTTCCGCCATTCTCGGTTTTGGGGTGTGACAGATTAGTATCAGAGCATTGTTTATAGTGAATTGAGTATATCAACCCATAAAAGATATACTAACTATAAATACAATGGGATTAAAAATACTCTGATTTAGAGTTTATACTTTAAATAATAAAATATTTAAGTAAGTATACGTGCCTGCATTCATACTAAAACAGTGTCACTAGGACAGTACAAAAGAATTACGATTGTTAAGGAACACAAGTGGGCTTAGAGACGTATGGTCAAAACTGGGAAGATATAGTCTGATCACCTATATTATCCGAGGGTTGACTAGCATGTACCTATGCTTAAATTGGGTAGTTGCAACAATGCAAAAATCTTACCAACCCTACCTCAATGAGAGCAATAGAACATAACATTAAAATTAAGATACTATAGGAGTATTTGGTGTTACTATAAGTACTTTATACTTGAGAACTAAAAACGGGATCTTCATCACTAAGTTGATAGTTGCTAAGTGGATACACTAAGGCTATATGTAATTA